TATAACCTTCTACACAGGCTGCACGAAAGCAAGATGCTCCTTTAATTTGTACTATCGAAATCAGAAGAAGCCACTCAAACAGGAGATAAGGCAAGTGCAAACAGAGAAGCAAACAAAACTGACAGTTTAGCATTAGTGTTTTACGACTGTACCCTGTAATGAGGCAAGGTGTTCAATCAAGCCTATAAAACTGAACTTAAGGAAATGATTGGGGAAGTGAAATGCTGTTTGATATATGGAAGGGTGGTTTGTTTGAACATGTCCTCTTTCTCCCACACAACCCCAAAACTCAGGCGTTCCTGACCAATCTGGCACTGCCTGCAGAATAGTATGCAGTTCCCCATGGTGAATTGTACCTTACTATGGGAACGAATATAATTTCCCCTTTGCACGGCGTACAAACCCTTATCAGCTTAAGAGCAATAGAGCCATCAACTGCAATAACTTGTAGTAAAAAAAAGTCAAGGTCAACAAGTACTTGCATTTTCATTTATCTTTTTATGCATTGCTACTGATATTCAATTGGGCAATAAACACAGGGACTGTTAAACGGGTAATTTGGAGGCCATCACAGGGAAAAGAGGCAATTTCCAGGTAATCAGAAAATCCTGTTGTAACAATTATGATATGAGTGCATTCGTTTTTTAGAGGCAATCTCCTGTCAATCCTCACCAACTGTTTTAATACTTATCTTACCCGCAGACCTCCAGCAGATGACAGGTACTGGGAATAGACACATTTCTAGCCCTTTGAGCTTTTGCGTATGCTTATTCAAATTCTCCAACAACAGTTGGAAAAATTAGCACCTTTAACCTTTAAAGTTCTATCTTGTGTTTTCCTCATCGTGTACATATATTTGTTATATGTGCCCAGATAACAAGGTTTGCCTTTCCTTAACAGTATTAAAGCATTCTCTTCAAATGCTTAAATACCATTATTCTGGGATGATGTCTTGGCCTTTCTTCTCTTTTCAAAGACTGAAAAGCAGCAGGAATTCCTTTCCAGCTGGTGCTGTTTCAGCGATGCCAGTATCAAAAACCGCATACCTTTTATCAGCTATTATGCTTTTGATTTAACCAAATTACTATGCAAACTGAAGATGAGAAACAAAAACACAGATAGTGTCATCCTGCGCTGTCTGCGTGCATGCCAGCACCTAATTGAAAATAAACACAGAGCAGAAAGCTGACAAGTACAAATTTCCTAAATGTGAAAAAGTATATCATAGGAGCTGATTTATAGTTCATGACATAAATGGGCGGCTTTGAGGAGGTGCCTTTTTAACCACATCACATAGGTAATGACAACAATTAAAAAAACATTAAAAGATTTTAAAAAAGGAAAAAAGTAATTTTATGATTTGAAATTAAAGAAACAACATCAGAGGAGTGTATGAGTAACTAAAGCTGTCAGTGAAGGATGGATTCTTCCAGTCTAGTGGGCAATTTTTGAATTAAACTCTGACTAAGCTAAACAGGGAGCAAGGAATCAGCACAGCCACTTCAGTGATGCTAGTCCTTTTATTTTAAACATAGTCTGACAGTGACTACTGTCCTGTCTAAACTCCACTAAGGGTCAAGTTGAAACAAAGCCAATCACATGATAATGGCAGCAGTAAAGGTCAATCAAAGGCACACAGCAGCTTCTACTGTCTGACTGACCTTCGCAGACAGCCTCAAACCGCAATAGGTCGATGTTGACTAATGACAATAGCACTCAAACTGATCAATTTGTTAAAATGTGATCAAAATCCTGCTCATGGGTCATTTTATTTTCACCTCCCTTGTTCATGAGCTAGAGAAGCTTAACTTCACTCAAAAAATAAAGAAGCAGCACTGAAGTCTTCCACTACAATGCTGTCACTCAAATAGCCAAATTTTCTATGAATGCTAAGTTGTCTCAGATACTTAAATGTGTTTATAGTTGGAACTTAGTGCAAGAATGATCACGTTTAATCCAAATGCCAACCTGATTTCTCACAGCAACAGAAGAAATAAAAATGTTTCTTTAAAAGCAAAATCCACACCATCATTTCTACTTAATGTAGAATAAACTGATTATATGCACCTAATACGGCTTTTTAATAAAACACAATAACCATGTGAAATATGACAACCACACAATAACAGCTCCCCACTCTCAGACTTCAAACTAGCAAATCCGGTCCTGGTCTATAACTATGACACAAAAGCTAAATATATGCAGACAATAATACAAAACAAATAGGAACTGTTTAACTTGGCACATAGAAGGCAGTTCACAAATGGTCACGGTAATTGGTGATACATATCTAACTACTACAGTCATCACCTTTTTCCCCTTTTTTGATCTGGCAGAACTGAAAGGAGTATTGAATCAGTTTTTTATGTCACCCTGATACCTGCCTTTTCCTGGCAGGAAATCATTTTCATGCATAGCTTGCAGCACTACACAAAGAGCAACCTTTAATCTGCACTTCCCCGGCCTGCAAAGTGAAGAGAGCGACTGGTTCTACAATGGTCAAGAGCTTTAGAACTGCGGTCATAATAATGATTTGTTTTCTTTTGCCCTGGAAAGCGCGTTACTCACAAAAGGTACGATCCAAGACATAATACCACAAGTAGTCTCCCGAGAACAGCCTGGTTAAACAAGGGCAGGCATATATGATCTATTGAAAGCAGCCCGACTTAATAGACTAGGACTAATTAGAGATGGATCGCTCTGTTTCTTGGGCAAACTTTCACAATATCTCCCTACTGTAGCAATGGACCTGCATCGGGATAAACATACTTGTCTTTTATGGAAATGTATGGGACCAAGAAAAGAGCATTACTTGTGAAGCAAATATGATGATTCCTATAAAATCCTAGAGAGTAGCACACAAAAGTTTTGCAAAAGTACTGATTTATACAAAATTGCATCCCAAGGGATTCTACCATAAGTTCAGAATACTACATTTTAAGCATGAATACAATAAATAAAATACAAAGGAACTAATTAATAATAGAGGTGCAATACAGATTTCATTTTAATTCTGGTGTTGCAATACCCAGAAGCGCAGAAACTGAAAAAAAAGGGCAGAACTCAAAGTTGTGTTCTCTGTTGTGGAATTCATCACTGGGAGAAAACTTTTCGGTTCCTCCCACAGATCTTCCAGTATCCTTGAGGCTAATAACATGGTGTAGTTAAGTTATTGCAAAACGCTCTGCCCATGTACCGGGAAGAAATGAAAAAAGAAACTTATTTTTACCACAGACTTGTAGCAAGTGGTTCAGATTTTAGATGCAGTGGTTAAAAGAGATTCCTGTAACCACCAAAACACTGCTCCGTGTTTCACTTTTCTCCTAGATTATGAATTACTGCTTGAAAATCAGGAGACAATGATATTTATTAGGTGTGCGTGGTCAGGCGGACTGGAGACACTGAGGAGAAACTCGCTATAGTATCAGGAGTGAAAGCAAGTGGAAAAGAAGGAGAATGGCAAAGGTCAGCAGGAAAGCTATCATTCTCTAGTGAAGAGAGAGGAGGCACAGTCAGATGTTACAGGATAAATATAAAAGGCAGAAACCACATTAAGGAGATGAATGGGGAATGCTATATTAGCTAAAAGCAATAACTTGTTATTGTTATGGTTTAATGGAAATTCTACACAGTAAGAACCAAATTTCTGCATGATTTATTCACATCTCATACTCTCAACTTTATCCCATCTTCCATCAACCTGCAATTGCACAAACTAGTTTAGAAAAACACACCAGAGTATATTAACAAGAAATAAGGTTGCCTAGGTATTCAGATTATATCTGTAGTACTGGACAATATAAGAAGGCAAAATCAGTATTTAAAAATATTATACAATTCTTCACACATAGAGATGAGCAGACACTTCCAGATATTTTCCTGTTTTTGTCGCTTGCACTTTGTCTTACGACAACAAATGAAATCAGAAATAAGGGCAGTAGCCGGGGCAACATTAAAGCTAAGCTATAATTGGAAGTATGTGAAAAATGAAGTGTCAGATTGGTCAATAAAGAGCAAAGGTCAGAGGCAACTGCAGCCCAAACTCTGCACAAAATGTGCTCATTAAGACATCCAATCAGAGGACTCCTGCCCGCCTATCCCATTAGTCATCAGGCATCTGACTGTTTCAAAATGCCTGGCTCTGTGCTGTTATTACTTTCCTTCTTCATGTAAAAAGGAGAGCTGGTATATAAATCGCTGCTCAGTCATCTGGAACATAATGTGGTCCTTTTTCCCTCATCCAGCTCTGCCTGCTGGCTGTGGAGGCCTGAAACAACTGCCTTGAGATTCCCTTCAATAATAAATGAAGTTGCTTTTTGCCTACAGTTTGTTTGAACTCCTCGCTGGAGACAGAAAACATTGTGCCTATTGATAAATAAAGACCAAATCAGTGCCATTAACACTGATACAAATAAAGCTTTCATTTACTTATTTACCCCCATATTTCTGATAAATCTGCAGAAAAATGCTAAAGATGGAAAAAGATGCAAGGACGTTTTGAACACATATATGTATAATTTTCAGATAATGAAGGAGTCCAGGCCAAGAGGTCAAGATGTGAAATGAAAACAAAATGTCCAAGTTTTGGGGGTTTTCAGTGTCACACTTTTTGAAGTTCAAAGAAGAGATCATAAATGACAAAAGGTCACCAAATGTCCTTATTAGGTCTTTAAGACATGAAAAAATTAAGAATTATTATGAACTTGGTTGAAACATCTTTAAAAAAAGAGCCTATTAAGTCACATAAAAACACAGATGAGGGACAACACATTGTGATTGACAGTGAAGGTAAAAATACCTTTATATGAGGGATAGCTCATCGCAACTGCTCTACACATTGTTAAAGCCTGACTGCATATCATATGTTTCAAAAGCTTGTTGTGATTCTATGATTTGCCTTTTTTTTTCCTTTTGCAACCTCAGATAAGCCAGTGCACCAATTAAGACAATGTGGCTTTCTGCATTGTAATGAACTTAAAGGAAACCTCTTAGGTTCTCACCTTGTTCGCTGCTATTGTCCCCGCTGTGTGACGTGTGTCCCCCACTCGAGGGGCCTGGTGTCCCACCTGAACGAGTTGATGCTGTGTCATCATGATCTCTGTTCCATGAAGTCTGCAGGGACAAAATTAGTGTTCAGCCAACAGACTAGAGACATGGACTGCCCTGGCAAGCTGGAGGCACAATGTTGCACAACAACACCACTACTGTTTGCAAGGAAAGAAAGTGGGACATTTTCTTAGTTATCCTTGTATCCCTGTAATGTATTTGAAGAAGAAATGCATGTCTACTCTACATGAAACAAACCTTTTCTGAATTTCTCTAACCAATGTTCTCAGTTAGGGTGTTGTACCTCATCAGAATTATTGGCTGTTCAGTGGACACAAAGTAAGCAAAAAAAATACTGCATAAAATGTGGCGCAACTTAGTTCAAATCCTACATTTGGGCGGTTTCTTACTCTTTTGTTGGAGTTATTCTCTATCTGGAATATAAATAACACTGCCACTCATTTAGCTCTTTTCGTTATATCAGAGAAAGGAGCAACAGAAATGACCTGTTAATGCCAGAGAAAGGCAAACCATTGTCTGCAGTCTGCAAAAATTAAAGTTGGGCAACAACAAATAGTCCAACTTGTGCTTAGTACCAGGAAGACTGCCACTCAACAGTGCTGATATGAGGTGAAGGATGATGGGAGATGAGAAAAAGCAATGTAAGACTGGAGCTTGTGTAGGCCTCAAAAACATAATGAACACAAAATAGCAATAAGCTTTCCCCCCAAAAAAAAAACTCATTCACAATTAAGCTTGAGTCCATAATGGCCAGAATGTGTCAGCTGTTTGCCGGATGGTATGTGGCAAATGGACCAGACACTGGAATAAAGAGAAACGGGAATAACAATAGGCTCACATGGCCTGTGTACACTCAGCCCCATGCAGTGCCTTCTTGTACTATTGAACAGAAAACAGATGTTGCTTCTTATCACTGGGCGCGTTGGAAAGTAGCATTTGTACAGGAGAAAAATAGCTGGAAATATAAGTAATAAAGAACATAAGAATAGATTATCTTGGCAACCCCCACACCCAACTGTATGTATTCACTTTATGGTGAATGCTTTTAATTAAGCTAAAAAAAATCATCCCTAAATTAAAATAGCCTACCTGAACCACGGAATAATCTAAACTTCATCAAAAGTAAAATCAAACTGTCCGTGTAGATAGCCCATACATGTATTTCCAGCAATAAATATAAATAACACTTTATTTAGCTGGGAACAGCACACAATAGGTTTTAAATTTAGAACAAGAGTAACTGCAATAAACTGGTGTCCCCTTTTCAAAACGGTCTTCCTATAGTAATATTGCTCTGGCTCCAACTTTACAGTATATTCAGATTTTCACGCCAACCACTGAAAATACATTCGCGAAAATGCATCTTTTAAAACAATATATAGCGTATCTTTTTCTGTACATACCAAAATCATGTAGCATGCCAAGAGAATGTTGTAAGAGGTAATCTAGAACACATGCTCAGAATGCAAACAGTTAAAGAAGCAATTGCCAGTTCCTACAACTAGAGCTTTTAAAAAAAGGGGGGAACTTGTTTATTCAGAGCTTTGTGAAAAAGAATGGTACAGCACCCTAGGGATATGAGAATGCCAGGCACAAAGCCCTGGTGCCTCAACATGTAAAAGGATGTTTTTCTATGTGCTACAAATCCCACTTGAAAATATAATTAGAAGGAGAAAATGGCAAACTATTGCATTAACTGTAATTGAACAAAAGACCAGCAAGGCATGTGGGAGGCTGCAGGGTCCCTTGGGAGTTCTGGGATGCTTCAGATCCTTGGAGTGACATCTCCAGGGTGCACTCAGTCTATTTATAATGCCCCTCGCCACACTTGTCGATTGGTGATCTAACTTGTAATTAATAGAAAATACAAAGATAATACGATAGAAAAGGGGAGGAGAATTCTAAAGGGCTAAAAAAAAAAAGCTGTGAAGACTGTGCTCGGTATGTGGCTCAAGAAAGACTTGGGGTGATGTGAGCTGATGAATTGTGTGGCGGCGCAAGGGAAACTGTCCTGCTGCACACAACAGCATACTTGATATATTCACTATCCCTTAATGAGCTCCCTTGCATTTATTCAGCTGTTTTCTCCTTCCCCTCCCCCTACTTTTTTTTTCTACAGTGCAGGATGTAGATTAATTCAATGCTTAATTGTTTAGTAAATTCAATTTTCCACATTCTATTCTGCATAGCTTTAGCTAAGGTTCTTAAATCTCCAGTGCTGAGCTGAGAGAGCAGTGTTTGTGATCTGTGCCTACCTTTTCTTTCATTACCATTTTCTTCCTCCACCACTTAATTCACCATGAAAAGATTTTCCTTGCTGGAAATTCTGATTCCGCTATGATCTGTGAGGCATTCCAATTCATTGCATTTTCATTGTGTTGGGTCTTAGATGCTGGGCTCCCTTTTTCTCACAGCCTTCCCATATTATACAAGCACTCATGCAAGAAATGTTGGGTTGCCAATTCATTTATAATACAAAATGTAACAGGCTGTCATGCAATGCTCTTTCCTTAAAATAATATATACACACACACACACCAACAAATACACACAGTGATGTCTAATTTTCTTATTTTAAAAAATATTCTCAAGCACAGTGACCTTATTTAGAATTAAGAGCAACTCTCTCTGCCCTACTGCTCTTAGAAACTATACTGTATGGCTGAACAAATGAATTGACTATTCTGCAATCCTAGCCTCTAAACCAGGAGTTAACACAGATACTATAATAAATCTTACTTTACATTCTATTGTAAACACTTGTTTGTTTGTACTTTCTACAAGCAGATAAGATAGGGATCAAAAGCACAGATAAGAACCCCACTGCCTTCATGCCTGTTCATTAAGCACACCTACTCACACCAAGTTGAAAACACAGGTTGAAAATTAGGTGCTTTGAACTGAGAAGATGTGATAATAATACTTTCTGCACAACAAGCAAAGGAGCAATGGAATGCAGAAATAACCTAATTATCTTTGGTATATAAAAAAACAGCATATCCAACTGAATTCTACAGTCTTTTATGTAAACAAAATGTAAAAAAAAATCATTATTCTGGATTCAAAAATAGTAACCAGAAAAAGCATTAAAAGATAATTATGTTTTACTAAATTATTTTATCATTAACAACATTGACTGCTAAACTACTGGCCCGAAAATGACTACAAAATAATCCATTGTTATTTCAGTAGGCATTTTAAGTTACAGTAAGCTTATTATTGTTAAACGATTTAAAATAGCTTTCATTTTGACACAAATAAGACAAAACACTGACTCAGACAATCAAATGTTATGTCTGGGGCATTTAAGCTTTGATGTAACAGGTCTGCTTCATGATCATTACACCTAGGTACAGATAGGCAATATTATTGATCACCTAAAGAAACTTAAAGGAGATCATAGGTGAATGGCAAATGATTTTCTTTGGCTGTAAATATACTCATTTGGTTTCAGAAAGTACAGTAAAAGTGAGATTTTAGCAAGACAAGGTTTTGTTATGCAATCTGCAGCTGACTAAAGCACCTAAAGCAGTAAGCTTCTGTAAGATGTATGAGCCTGACACAGCAAACTGCATTATTTTTATAGACTAGTATATTGCTTTTGTGCATTCCTCTCTGTTAGCTAGCATCTGCTGATTATCACATTCCCAACAGTGATCTCCTCATCTATCATTTGAAATGTTTAACCTTCTCATGAAACAATTATTTATAAATAAAATGCAGAAAGCTTTCTTCAATGATTAGAAATATTCAGCAAGTTTGCATACCTAGTACTTTAAACATATGTATTAACATTTAGCACACTTAGTAACTTAGTACACAACTAAAATAAGATATTTTCACACAGTCTGGATAGTTATCTGTGTTTTTGAAAGATTTCTACCCTCATATTTTCTAAACAAACTATAATTTGTTTCCCAAAGACTGGACTGTCCAAGACAAGAGAATTTATTTTCCTCCCCCACAGGCTTCTCACAGGAAATATGAGTTGGTCCAACTTTTCCATTATTTTGCTCCCTCTGTGAATGAAATTTCTTATATGACTGATCCAAATCATCCCCACTTGTTATGCCCCAGTCACTATAAACAGAAAGGGCCAGCAGTCACGTGCTTACTCCTTTGTATCATTTGTTGAAGCCACACAGCAGTGGAGAATTCAAAACTTAGTAGATAAAATAAGAAGTTAAATTGAATGGGAATGATTAGATACTAAAATTGTTCTTTAAACAGAAGAGTCTTAACAACATATCAAATGTGCAGAAAACGTATTCACTTATTCTCATTCATTATGTCATACATATTTATTGTTTCCTGTATATTATGTAGCATAGCTATTTCTGAGATTCAACAGTTGCTAAACAAGGCTCAACTTTAAACTATTTTTAAAGGCAATGTGATAAAACAATGAGGTTGCTTCTTTTAATTTTAAAAGTCTGTGTTCTTGGGAGAACAGACTATGCAGAACTGAGAGACCACCAAATATCAACACAGGAACATTTTCATAGGAATGCTAAGAAAATTATGGAATTCTCATGTCTTATTTCTGCCTTCATCAACAAACCCAAAAACCTGAGACACCGTTTAACTATTTTCCTACATTCAGACGTACACTTGCCCCATTTAATGTCTATTATGATGCTCGATCTAAAATATCAACATAAATAATATTAATTAATAGCAACAACTAATACTTGCCTCTACTACATTCGTAGCTACATCTAAAGCTATTAATCATTTTAAAAGATTGCCTGCAGTTATAAAGGTATTAAAATGCGTGACAATTCTAGCAACTCATATTACTATTGTTGGAGCAAAGAAGAACTAGAGATTTTTTGTGTATATAAGAAGGTTAATGCATCACTACTTATTGTTTGTTGTTATACACATATAAACAGAGAATGCACTGTTTTTGGTGCGATACGTAAAAGGCCATTAACACCAACCCTCATGCACTAAGCTATCAACCAAACAAAGTATCAATGGACAACCTTCTGATTTCATTCTCACACAATATCATTTTAATACCAAATAAGCGAGTGGAAAATGTATGACACGCCACCATTCAGAGGGTCTCTTTTGTACTCAGCCAGTATTTGTCTGAAAGCTTTGAAAAGTTTAGGGTCTCAAAGGGCTCCGTCTGACAAATCTCACTCCCTTTTTTGAAATATATTTTAAAACATTCCCAGGAACACAGCAATACAGGATTATTTTTTTTAAAACAATGTTGTCTTAATAATACTCCACAACAAAACCAACTTTAAGAACCAAACTCCAAACCGAAGTTTTGGGGGGTTTTCGGGGTCAGGCTTGACACATTTTCGGTCTCAGTTTTGTACTTGTTGAGGCAGTGGGTACACAGCATGAGCACTTCAGTCATCAAGGAAAAGAGCATATCTGGCCTTGTGGAAGATTAAACACAGAAAGAAGCAGGCTCGGTCTTCTGTTCAAGACCTCTCCCCTTTACACGGAACGGTACTGTTTTTATTTCTCACATTCTTTAACGAAGAGGACCAAATGCAGTTTCAATGGACAAGATTTGGATTTTAATCCCACTTTAACTTTCTTTGTGAAAATCACTTTTTCATTTCTTCCCCTCAGCACAAGTGGATCAGCTGACAGTCTTTTAGATTATAGGCTAAATGTATAGAAGCCTAATACTCCTATAAGTTCCAGGGTTGAAGGGGTTAAAGTCGACAACCAGTCACTCCGGCTCACATAACACCTGAGGGAGATCTGCATTTATCAGCACCGCCTGAAGTACACAACGTGATTTCAAACTGGCTAGGCCACATTCACAAGCGAGTGGAGAGGCTCTGACTTTTTCACCTTTAAGCTATGCTATGCTCTTTTTTTTTTCATTGGGAGGAGTCCTGTATCTTTCGCCAACAGAGACTTTCAGAGCTGCAGTCTGTATTATAATATCCTTAAAAACGAAAAACGATATAAGGTCCAACACATTAGTCTGCTGCGAATGCGCAGGCGGTGAAACCTTTCTGTTAGGGAGCTGGACAGGCCTAGAGTTAGGGAAATCCAATACAATCCACTGTATTTTTTTTCTGATGCTGCAGCCCCCATGCTTGAATAAATTGGTTTATGAATAAGTAAGCCTCCCTTCTCCTTCTTGTTAACAGTGTTGAGAATTTGCACAAAGAACATTTTTCCAGTCCAACTTCATGCCCGAGGGCATATATTAAAAATACATATGGAACGAGATAATGCACACACGACACAAAGTCGTTACTGATGTCACCCTTTAACCACCGCAGACAAGGGCTTTCCAGGTTTAGAAATGCGGAGAGCAAAAACTTAAAAAGCATTGCAATTCATTAAATTAGCTCAACTTTGTTGTCGGTGATTAAGCTAACACAACATAAACCAATTAGGCCTCCTTCATTGTGTGACGAAAACCAACAAACGCGCTACAGAAGGTGCGCAAGAAGAACTGACAGCAGTTTGCATTTAATTCTAAACATTTTTTTTTTGTTTTGTCTCCTAAAAGGTCACGATGAAGCAACACATTATGAACTCCTTTCGAAAAGTTACAGATATATTCCTGAAAATACATATTCCAATACAGAATATGTTGCGGATAAATATGTAAAAGTGTATATATAATTGATGACAATTAGGACATGCATATTCATCTTAAACTCAATTAAAGATCTGATAACATCTGTGCCCCCGAGCTCCATGTAATTTTCTCAAATGACTTTATATACCTTTGTACACTGGGGTCTTCAGAAAGTCTATTTCTGTCTCCGGTAACTGAAGTTTCTTTCTTCGCAATCTGACACAAGTAATCACTAAAGCTTGGGGACGATTCAACATAAATGTCTATTGGAATAATTGAATGAAATTGTTCTTCAATGCGATGTTATAATGTTTTGCGTTTTAAATTATGCTATTTTAAGATATTTTTACAAATGTCTAATAGGGAGAGGTTACGCTTGTGTATATGTAATACGGAGTGTTTAGAGAGGTAACGTTTACATTTTAAGACCGAGTTCAGTCACAAATGTGACTAAAACGCGCCAAGCTATTCACTTCTTAGTGTGCAAGATGACCGATGACTTATCTATCTTCTGGACAACATACTGTACAGCTTGGACGTTCATTCTCTACCGCTCAGCTATATGGAATTTCAGGGATCAAATTTAACCTCGGCGCCTTGTTATTCTTGATGCAGGTGTAGTAATGTTAAATGTTTTTAAAGTCTAATGTTTTTAGAATACCACCCCTGAACATAAACAGGGAATAAGTCAGTAACATCCTTGAAATGTGAGCACAATAAATGCACATACCGTAGCACTGATTTGATCAGATCAATGAACGCCTATTACAAAGATTTTAAGCTGCATAAAAAAATTGAGATTTCAGGCTCATTTCCCCACACAACACAGCGAAATCTCCTTACCACAGCAAACCTATTAAAAGCAAGCAGCTTACCACCTATTCTAAACATAGCCGAGATTTTTTTTAATACAGCTATCCAATTTACTTTAACAAAAAAATCTAATCTCAGATGACAGAAAATACAATATAAAAATACAGCAACAATACATATACACAAACACGCTTTCAGCAAAAAGTCCTCAATAAGCAATGTGCGCTCATGTCTAAGGAAAAACACTGACATGACAGCTAATGAACCATGCACTCCAAGAGAAAATGCAAGACTCTACCTAAGATCCAAACTCTTTCTCGTATGTATCTCATGTCAACTATCTTAGAGTTTATTCCAGGCAATTTTTTTACTTCTCCTAGTTTCTTCCTTCTAAAAATACCCTCAGTTAACATTTCCATTCCGCTAAAAAGGCAAATAAAAAGACAGAATTAAAATCGACAAGAAACAGGTCAAGTTTATGGGCTATGCTTTTACAAGCTAATCTCGCCAGGTCGGTTCCGGGAGCAATCCTTAATGAAGCAATAATAGCCACATTATTCAAAATTTTTCATTTCGATGGAAATTCATTTAAAAAGGACTTAATCATATGCAAATAATAAACGGAGAAGTACTGACCCAGCAGATGATCTGAATACAAATTTCTGTAATGCAAGGGAAAGCAACCCACATACCTGATCAAGATTCCCCGACGATCTCGTGATTTCTTCACTATCTGATTTTGATCCGCCTTCTCTGTCATCTATAACCAAGTCGATGGGCATCTTTCCTTTCAAGCAGCTAATATACCGATGGCAGAAATTGTCACACAGTTCGTGTACCTAAAGATAAAAGGAAGTGTCCAAAAATAAAAATCACAAAGGACATAAACGAAATTGACAAGTGCAACCAGAGCTCCCTTTGACATGAAAAGTTCCAAATAGTGGAAGTACTTTGCAATTATCCTCCAGAGACCCGGAGACGCATCCAGAATTTGGAATAACTTTCTTTTCGCGCAAAATAGAGTTATCGCAGAAAATTGACAGTGACAAGACGATTCACAGGCTACAACATATTCAACACCCGTGCTAAATTCATCTACTCCTGGGGCTGTGGCCATTAGAGGGATGACCTGCATGAGTGACATTTAAGGTAAACTGTTTAATTTCGTCTAGTTATTTCATTACAGGGAATCTCGCCATTCAGAAGGTCCAAAGGCTTTAAACAGTCATAGAACATCGCCAACTGCGCTTCTGTAGTTAACGTCTAAAAAACTGAATGATTATATTATTAAACCTCTAACTAGCATGTAGCCTTAGACCCAAACATACACACAAGTGTAAGCGTGTCCAGGAATGTACACATTCGTGTATCTCTCTATATACACACATTTGCATACTGTATGTATCTGTATACACACACATAAGCAAAAATAACTTTTTGACTTTGTACACAGAATTATTTTTAAGCGTAGCGTAACATCTTAAAAACCAGTGCATCCTTATTTTTAATATTTAATATTAACTATAAATTTTAAACTAGCGAAAGTAATCTCCTTTTTAAGTAAATCGAAATATTTTTGTGTCAAGCCTTAATCCGATTTCCTACAACAGACTCTGTTGCATTACTACTATTAAACTACTACTGTTAATAGTAATGATAATACCCCAATGTTGTCCACGCATACTATATAAAATTAAAAATCACAATGCGGAATTAAATCCTAGATTATTAACAGGGAGTATATAATCCTGGTTTTAGCAGTCTGACTTGTAATTAAACTAGGGAGAGAAATAGGCGCCAAAATTGGCTTTGACACTAATTACAACAGACCAGAAAAAAAGACATTTATGCAAATGTACCCCATAGGTCTGAACTGTAACATCAGTCTGTTACACAGTGGTGAAATTACCTTCTCTAATTCCAGTAGATGAAACCTTAATACTTGAATGGCTTGAATCATCTGCAAAAAAGTTAACAGACATCAACTTCAACCCGGGAAAAAAGGCAAATATTAAGTTGCAAACTTAGGCCTTAACTGCATCGTTATAACGGATCGGCCATAAAATGATATGATTTATGACAACGGCACTTTAGTAAATAGTAGCGGTTGGTACAATGTTATTTAACACTTATTTAAAACATTTTTTTTTTATTGACTAAAATCCTGATTGTTAGAGAAATATGCCGTGATTATGCAGGTCCTGCGATTTTTTTTTTCTGGGGAAGAATAAACGTATTACTTTATCGGTGTTAAAATCGTCACTGTTTCACATGAAAAAAATGGCAAGTGTTGCTTTTAACCTAAGTGAAATTAATTTGCATATAACTTTTCATTGATAAAAACGCAGAATGTTCAGCGCATTCTGACAGCTTTCCAATAGAGACACGGAAGATGGTTATCTGCGGTGACAACTAGGGCTATCGTCAAATCAAGCAATCCTTTTTGAAGCTTATTCTGTGAATGAGAATCATGCATGTGCATCCATGAACACAAAAGAGCTGTTTACTAATCGCATTCATTTTTAAACTACTATTTCGTGAATATGTATAAATGAATATAAGGCCTACTTCTACAGTACTATAACTCCTAATTAATTCTGCAACATAACATGAACTATGTATTCTTACCAAATTATCCAGTTCTGGATTTGACGAAAATAAAGGTTTTTCTGCCCGAATCTAAAGAAAGAAAGTGCATTGCTATTGTTAATAAAACATGATTATTTTCAATCATAATAATTTTATGCATAGGAGATTCTAGTCAACTTTACTATATCAGGACAATCTACTTTTAGATCGCCGTACCGTACATTAATTTATGTTGTGGGATTAATCTTCATAACGCTAAGAAATAAAAAAAACATAGGTCACTTAACTGATATTTAATAAAGTTTAAAATATACAGAAAAACTTCCTGACCTGTTTTGCAAATACTGCTATGTCTTCATTGAAAGACTCTGACGAACAGACGTCGCCTCCTGCAACTCCGGGTTCCCTTGGCGTACAAGTGGCTAATTCACATTTCTCAAAAATCAGTGCTAAAAGAGGAAACAGTGGGTGCCTGGAAGAGAACAGAACCATCAAGTCCACTAAGCGCTACGGACAAAGAGTTTGAAAGTCAGAGAAAGCGTATTGGAAACGCAGACAAGCTTCTGTAGTTTACGTCAAAAACTGAATGATTCTACTATTAAACCTCTAACTAGCATGTAGCCTTGGAACATAATTATTAGAAACGCAGAGACAAGCTATACATAGATAACACACCGTGAATATAAAAGCGGACCTGTGAAATGTAGAATTAACCCAATAACAAAATTTACGTCTCACAATAAAGTAGCCATATCAGCATCGCCCTCGCTTTCTCACAATTAGCATTTCTGGGGAGCTTCTGGAACTTCTCTGTTTTTAATATACCAATGAACTAAACGGGGTAGTGCAGAACAGAAAGATGATTGCCGAACCAACATTTATTTGCGTTTGGAAAAATAGCTGTTTGCTTTCGTGAACCGATCAAAAATACACCATCAAACGTACTGCGCATGGTTAAGAGCAAACTCAATTCAGTGTTTCAGCAATCTGAGTTCTGTTCTTAGTACAATAAATCTGAACGTGAAAAGAAATATGATGTTTTCGTAAAACATTTCTGAAACATCTTTATTGCATTTAAAACTTGAAAGAGCTAGTTCTACAATTGTTGTGTCCAACCAAGTGACAGCTTAGATACTTGACCATTGTAGGCTGTGAAGAATATACGTAAATACACTGCACCTTTCAATAATATTTAACATAGACATATTAGTACTGTGTAACATAGCTTTGTTTGCTTTGCTCTTTTATTTACTTTAAGTGCAAACTAAAGCGTATTCTTCAAGACAGCACTAGTTAATGTTTTTAGGCTACGTAAACTTGACTAACCTGCTGGGAAACATAGACTATATACAGTATATTCTTCCTCGGAATCCATGTGACATTTGTCCTTTTTTAATTCCTAAAACCAGCGGAACACCCAAAGTGCCCCAACTTTGCAAGTTCAAATCCGAATTGCAAAAAAAGAGAGGTAAATACACAAGTTTTCTCTTTTTAAAACTTCATTTGAAAACTTTTAAGTTAAAGGCGGTGCTCTCCAAAATTTTTAACAATAGATTTGAAACGATTTGGCTATGTATCACACTGGGGGCGGCGGAGGGGGGGTTAGTTTGGAGTAATAGTACAGCTTTCTGAGTCTGAAAGTTTGGTTCAACTCCACTTTCTCCCAACTTCATAACACACTAAAACTATCGCCCCTTCAATTAACAGCACAAAATCATCAGTGGTTTTCCGGCCTCGGGCATCACATATTAAAATGGCTGTCAACTAAACCTACCCGTATATGGCATCTTTATCTCTTTTTAAAGCATCGTTGACCGAAGAGCCCATGCTCGGGGGCATGGGATTGGCGTGCGCCGTGTGCGGGTACTGGTGAGAGTGTAGCTGGGGACCGTGATTCAGGTGAACAGCCTGCATAGATCTGGCCGCGTGAGGATCCCCGTACATGGTGGCAGGAATCCCTACTCCGTCCATTCCATAATGGGGTAAATCTTCGTACTGCACACAACAAAACAGGCATGCTTCAAAAAACCAGTACTTTCTCTCGAGAGGGAGAGAGAGGGAGAGGCTGGCCGGAGCATCTCTTAGAAGGCAGAAAACAGCAATTGCGTAAAAAAGGTTTTTTTTTTTTTTTTCCGGTCATGAAATAATACCGATAACGATAATTATACATCTGTATACACGAGTTAGATAATATGTAGATGTTCTTTCGCCCCATAAAAAAAAATGCGTAAGGAGCAAGGCACACGATCGTGAAAATGTATGTCAGTTTCACTGGTTGTAAACAAAGTAAAACTATCACAGTATTTTTACACCTTTCCAAAAAGTGCTCATCACATGAAACCCAAGAGTAAAACCTCTTAACGTTTGGATATTGTTTATAATTATAATATTTATTGTACACACTTTTACAGTTCTATCCATTGTAAAATGCACTAAATGAAATAAAATGTAACAATAACACATTTGGTACTCGCTACCTACTTAAGAAATAACACATTGTACAATGAAATCTGTTACTTAGAGGGCTAAATCGAATATTAAATTTTTAAAATACTTATTCTAAGTTAATGGTGTGTGATATTTTGATAAACATTTTTGTGTTTTTGTTTAATCTGTTTCATATGTAGTTTTCAAATTATACTTGCAAATAATTTATCTGAATATCTGAACGTGACAAGACAATTACAGTGAAAGTGAAAAAAGGAATTAGCACATCCATGCCATAAAACTATAAAGGTGTCAATATACCGCATGTTTCTACTGCAATTGCAGTCTAGGCAAGGTCTCAGAAAGATTTTGATAAGTATTTTTAAATTAATTATAATTAAAGCCCCAAAAATAGTTACTTTCAATACGCAACACAAATTACGTTAGAATTGGTGGCAGTGATTTGTCTTTAAATTACATAATATGTTTGAAATACTTCCCAAGACATAGACTACATACTTTAAAAATGTTCATGAATACTTTTGATTGATCAATTATTATCGAGGAAGGAGTCGCTTTTTAACAGGAGCCAAGAAAGCCTCCGAAGACTCTGTATTTGAACACTTTGAACGCTGTTTTCCTTGAAAGTTAAAACAAATCACAACAAAACCTAACTGAGAGCAGGGATAGTACTTGCTTGACAACAGCCTGGCGTGAGAAAAATGTACTGGTCTTTACTACCCCAATTTCTGTTTCTATTGTTTCTTTAAAAAGACATGCTCTGTCTGAAGAGTGAAATTATGCAAAACAATATATAAAGTTTACCGACAGTTTAAAAGGTCTTTATGATTACAGTGATCCGAGTGTACGAAGTAGGGGAAAAGCCTATTATGAAGTACACTAGCATGCCATAGAAAGGAAGAAAAAGTTTTTGCTGTCTGTCATCAGCCACGTTTCAATGTTATACATTGAGTTGCAGAAACTTTTCTTAATACGTACCCTTTGCGCCATCGGCCTGCCTCTCCCCCTCTTCTTCCTTAACTTCAAATATATCTCCTAGGAGGCCAGCGTGAAGGGAAATAAACACGCAAACTCCAAAGGCTAGATTAAAAAATCCTTATGTCTCCTTCAAGAGGACGAACAAGCCAGACCTTCAGCTCAAGTTCAGCTAAAGGTAAAGCACAAATAGCGCAGAAAATAGCTCCTTCTTTTTTCCCAGCACAGCACCGAGGAGAGAACAAATCTTCTTTTCCAAATCAGTGTAAAAAATGCCCCTCAAACAAAACTAGCGAGTCTCATGGCTTTTTGCCACTCCGGCTGTCAATCAAAGGCGAGGTTGTCAAAGTACTGAATGAATGATGATCCGCCGTGCGCTTCCACTGGTTGGGACACCTTAAATGTTAATACTCAAATGCATACAAAAATCAAGCTCTCCGTTTCTTTGATCACTCTCAGCTCCTGAGCAGATTTTTTTATGCAATAGCCTCTAAATGAGATCGAGAGGAGGTGGGGTGATATTTCTGGCTGAGTTTTTCTTAAAGGAGCCACGATCGATGCTGCTAGCTTGCCTGCCCGTGTGTGTACAATGTGTGTGTGTTGCACGGAGCAGAGAAGTGGATTTGGACCAGAATGCTGGAACCCGGAAGTAGTGGTGGCCATAACAGGTCGCGTCTTACACAATGCACTGGGCTACATCAAGTTGCTCACACAGGAGGGGGGGAATGAGAGAGAGAGAGCAGGGAGGCGAGGCTGGGGTTATTCTCTCCGTCCTCTCCGTGGTGCGCTGTAGCGCGCTGCCCGTTTGATGCCAGGAGAGCGAGTGAAGAAAAACAACTTGAAAGGAATAAAGACGGAGCCTGGGCGCTTCTTTATTCCTCCCCTACCGCATAGGACTTCCACTGTAAGAATAACACGGGCACAAGCTTCAGTTCAACTCCCGAGACCGGAGGAGAAAAGTTGATGGGCTGAGATTTTTTTTTGAGGAATCTTTACAATTGCCAGAATAAGCAACAGCACATCACTACCCCGATAACAGTTGCGTGCCGCTTTCTTTTTTGAGATCCAGTGTTATTCCAGTTTAGTGTGATACTTTTGAGTGTGGAGTGTCAATTTGCGTCATTTGGACCTTCTGATGTAGAAGCCTATTTCATGCAGTAAGCGTCTGAAAAAAAACTAAAACATCTCATTTGAGGTTGAGCGCGTCAGCCTGAGAGTTTATACGTGATGATGTCTAGTGTAATTCCTTTGTTGGCATTATCGTAACAGGTTCAAGTGCTGGAGCTGCAGCCGTTCATTGCTCATGTTTTGGATGGTCAGCTTGATTTCGCAACAAAACGCTGCAGGGAATATTTGGGAAACACTTTATCTGTATATATAACACGTTTATGAGCTACACCAGACACTTCAATGAAAGTAAAAGGAAAACGCATAGAAAAGGCTCGGACCACGACGCATTTCCCAAATGCACTGCAGCTCCACACCCCTGCTGCTAGGGAGAAATGAGCTAGCCCAAGTCACTGTAGATTTCAGGAGTTTGCAGGCGATGTCCAATCAAAATGTACTCTAGCGAAGCTAACCTTCCATTGGCTGCAAAGATGATCAATTATCAAGTGATCGATCAACTTGAGTTCTGATCTGTGGGGAGGAGTACAGTTTGTAAAAAAAAAACACACCCCAGCAAAGACAAAAGTAAGTGTCTCTTCATAGCTAGAATTATATTAAAATAGCTATATATAATGTATCCGTGGATGCATGACTAGATTAATAATGTACCAAGATAGGTATACATTAAAGTATGAGTATTTCCAGTCCTAGTTTTTTTCGCAAAGCTACTCAGTAATTTCATGTGTGAGAGAAAGTCTAAACCGTACAGGTCCTGTGTGGAATAGCCATTAAGCATTACGCTTTCTTGTAAAAGTATAGCTGCAATTTAGTTTAGCGTTCGGTCAGAGCGGATTATGGTATTTGTCAGTAAGTCACTGTCTAAGACCGCACACTGCCTGATTTTTATATGCACGACTGCTTTCTGGAAGGTACACACATCTATTGTATAAAAAAAACGAGATAGGAGTACAATGAATTCTAAAATGTACACAAACTGTACAGCAGGTCACAGATATAGGAAAATATGTTTTGAGTACTTGAGTTTCCAAATTCCACACGGTGCCGGTTGTGCAACTCATATCGAAGACTTCCACTTGGTTACGGGGTTTCCAAAACATTACAGAAGAACATTGCAGATTCGTGCAATAAAGCAACGTCTTTTGACCACATTATTAAGGTGTAATTACAGCATTTAAAAGAATTTGACTCCTTACAAGCTTTAGATTACCTACCGTGTTATTTATATATATTCAAATGAACCTGTGACAAGGTGTATGAAGTTTGTCTAAAGAGCGTCTGTCATCGATCTGAACAGTTTGGTGCTGGTAAGAGTGTCATATCACATAATGCAGGCTTCACACATTCTGCGATCTCCGCGGTGGAGCTACACTGGGGTCTTTCGTCTAAATTTACAGGCATGAAATTACTATTAAACCCCCAGACCGGCAGGAAAACCTGCAGATATGAGACGTTAAGTAGCTCCGTTTCGGATACAAAAACACCAGTTATTAGATATAACTTAATCTAAGACCAAAATAGCTAGAAATCATGCTTTGTGTTTTTTGGAGGCTTAATGATCTTCATAAAGCCTTGGTACAGTATAGCACAAGCTGACTTCTTGAACTGAAAATCCTGCAGGGTAAGTTACCTCTTTTTTCTTAAAGTTTGTTACAATTTACCGGTGTGTATATATATTATATATATACTTTTAATGACTAGAATATTTTTGTTTATTGTTTTATTGCCTTTTCTTGTAATGCATACGGGGGCTGCGTTAATTAAACTTGATTTGACATACACTCAGAAGTAAAATATCTTATCTGGCTTGTCTCTCGGAGATTTTTGTTGGTTTATTCCAAATGCGTTGCCTTTATAACATTTCATCTTTATTGCATGTAATAACTCGTATGAACTCAGTATGCGGCTTTTACGCTATGCAAACAAAGGCCAGACGAAGCTGACAGAAAAGGCAAAATACACGAAACGCATTTGCAGTTGTAATAGAATGGTACTATAAAGTAATTAAGTAGCTTCAATTAAAGTTCTATAAAAGGACAACACTAACAATCTCAGATACAGATGATTGCTGACTGTAAACCACATTTTAAAGCCTTGTCATTTGCCCTGTTCTGCATTGTCTATCTGCAACGTAATATTGTATATCTTTATTATAAATTTAAACTATGAAATAATAAAATATTATTGTCCTGTGACTGTTCGACCCAGCAGCAAGTCTCCGGATGAAATTAAGTGGCATACATTTCATTTATATCAGTTGTTTTAAGGTAAGGTAATTTTTGTTAACTCATTTTCAAACTTTAAACAATAAAAGAGCAGAAGCGAGCGATACCATAACACAAATCTAAAGCGTATTAGATAATGCGCATTACTTATAAAAAAGTATATTCCTTATCTAATAAAGGAAATTGAATAATTAAAATGATGTGCTTAATGCATCAAATTGGAAATAGTCTGCCTAATTTAGCTGATATAATCTTTATTATTTTTTAACCTATCAGAGAATTGATCATGAATCACTACATGCATATCTTCTATACAAATACCTGCTTTAAGTAATACAAAAAATACACTCGCCCAGATTGCATACATTATAGTTTTGTTAAACTATCTGAAAGACAGCTAAAATAGGCCAAATAAAATCAAACGTTTATTAACAAAGGGACTTGTATTTAAATGAATAAATTGATAAAAACGTTTTAACATTCATTTAACATGCAACGTTCGTAGTAGCATTAATATGCAACGTATTAATTGATCCTGATTATCCACTTGTTCTTTATATGCAACAAGTTTATGTGTGTGATTTTTAAATTGCTTTTGTAGCTCTGTTCCATCGTACTGAATAAACTGGGGCTGCGTACTTAAGAAGTCAACTGAAGGTCAGTTTTAACAGCCTTACTGTAGCAACAATCTTGGACAGAACCTGTTGAAATTCATAGGAGAAACTATACTGGAATACATAACTACGTCATCAAAGTGAAGATTTTGTCCACATGCACGATTTGTACGTGTGGGACTGAAAGAAAATAATTCACGTAGTTCGTCTTTTTCCTTCTACATGTAACATATGTACTGTACACGATCTAAATCCATTTTAAATGTGTCCGTTAGATCTATGACATTGGTTAACCCTGAGTCAGATTTATTTTGAGAACGTAAGAATGGAAATAAAAAACAGTTTTCTATTAAAGTTTGAGGCTTTGTGATTCAAATGGAGGATTTAGCGATTCTTTGAATGAAAATATATTGCTGCTCTAAAATGCATTGAAATGAATACAGTAGATCTATTCACCAAGCGTTTCTTGTAACAGTTTAATAACACTTTTCTTTAGGAAAGGATAAGGGAACTCGTGACACTTTATAAACCAAGAACTAATCAAAGATAGAAAATGTTAATAATACTTAATCGTTTAAATAAATTGCACAAAAGTTGTATTTAGTCCTTATTTTTGGCTATTTTGTTTCTCAATCAAACTAATCCAAACTGCTAACATATAAGGAAGGAATTGTATTAGGTGTTAAGTGAGCATTTCCTACATGTGAAACAAAACAGTCCGCTTTTGATTTAATCTTCGCAAAAATAAAGACATGCATCTTTTTATAATGCTATAGTGAGCCGCTAAATCGTAGTTAGTTTCTTCAAACATTTCACTTCAAATACTTTTTTAAAATGTCATATAAGATAGATGAAATAAGCCATCTAAGTTCCGATAGTTTGCAGTTTCGAGAATCGTTTTATGTAATTATTCATGTGGAATGCGAGATATCAATATACTTATTCTTTCTGATGTATATTTTGTCTTGATCTGTCCTTGCTTCCCAGGAGTCATTTTTCTGCTTAACCTTTTGCGCCGTCTACTGGTCACTCGGGAAACAACAATTCAATTAATGTTTGTATGGAGACTCGCAAACATCAAAAACAACTCTCAACAACAACTGACTGTCTTTGAATTCTGCAAAAAATATCAAGCGAAGTAAATGCTAACATAATAAATACGTTTTATGAATCAGTCAATAAACTGTTCTATTCGCTTTCAAATTACACTTGTGTAGAATACTAAATACGTAATTGAAACAAATATATGCGCTTTTATTTTCTGGAGCGGGTTATAAAATCCTAAAAAAGTTGAGTAGATTTCCGTAACTACATTTCTTAGCTATGGTAGCAAAAATAACAGCAGTTTAAATTACTTTCAAAACATTTTTTTTTGCATTGCACAAAATAAAGCAAAAGGTAAGGTGTTTATTTTAATTTAACATTGCATACTGTATATCATAAATGTTTTTTTTTAATTAAATGAAACAGTGCTTAATTATCACCATTTTCTAATTAGGGTTTGCAACGACAGCGTTTTCCTGAATGTTGCTATCTAACGGAAAACTTTTCTAACAATTATTTACTTTTGTTAAAAGAGAAAACTAACTTTAGGACTTCCAAATTCATCACATTCTTCACACTAAGAACCTGCATTCTCGCTAAATGACGTAATGATAGGGCTGATTGTTCAGTACACAGAATTGTTTCACTGATCAATACACTTTGTTATAGTTTGTTGCATAGTCAATGTTTTAAGTAAATATTTTGAACTTTTCATTGTAAATTGTGTGCTAAAGCTAACGTGCATTATGTAACTTTACACCTGTTGTTTTTGCAGCAGTTAGTTTAAACTTCTGTTTAAACGTTTACACTTAAGTCAACTAAATGTGTGGAGCATTCTAGAGAAGACACCGAAAGTCGATCACAAGGAAAGCAATACAGCTTCATTTCTATTCCCGAAGTGCTTAATCCATTCGTAGAAAACAGGATCGTGAAACATTAACTTTTTATAGTTTTCTAAAGTACAGCATAGACTAGAGATCAAATCCAAACGTATGTAAAAGTAGTATTATACTTGAATTTAGAAATGTTCTTATTGTTGAAAACCTTATCTAACAAAAATGCTAAACACGTTAAGTATTTTAGCCATCTGTGCTGTATGTAACACAGTTTAGATGACTTTATATAGAATAAGGACTAAGTACAGAAAAATAGATTTTCTAATCATTATTGTTGTTTACGTTGAACGTGTCTGTTTCATATATCATGATAAAGTTACAGGTAAATTATGTAAACATAAAAATACATATCCTTTCTTGACTCTATTAAATAAGAGAAATGATCAAAATGTATAAGTAACCGGCAGACAAATTGCTACACAAAGGCATCTGTTTTAGGACAGCTTTCATGTCTTTTTGTGTGAACCCCAATCTAGTATGATACATAACTTGTCTTAGAATTTTTTATATAACAAAGCAGCTTTTACATTTGAAACGCAGTGTATCGTATCTTTAACAGTAATGATTCACAAGACTTAAGATTCAGATCTTAAATGTTAACTCCATTGTTATTGTTTTAGAACAGGTATTCTCGATACAAGCTATATGTACAGTATATTTACAGTTAGTGGTTTGAGATAGCCATGTTATCTTCTATCACATTTCAGTTGGTTGTTGTTTCCTTTTAACAACTTTCTGGACTTAAAAGTTCCCAGCAGGATACCCTGTGGTACAAGAGTGTGAGGACAGTAATAAAATCTTACATCCAAGGTTTTCAAATGTTTTTTTTTAAATTAAACATAATGCTGGAAGCCATTTTGAAATGGCCAGGACCTCATAATAAGCAAGAAAATGGAAACTTTCTATATCTTGTCTTGTTAATGTTGTGAAACACCGTGTTCTTTCAGTAACAAAAGTGTTCTATTTTTCTTTGTCCAACTGTTACATGCTTGAAAAAAAAACGGAATGCAAATTTGTTCAAAGTTTTAAATTATATTTATATATTTCATATCACTGATTGTAAATTATTTGATGCATTTTGCAAGTAAAGAAAACTGTTAACATCTCTAATGCCTAAAAAGAAGCATTCTGGATTTGATCTATCCAAACAATAAAAAGAAACAAAGTAACAAAACGTGGTGACAAAAAGTTGTTTTTTTTCCTAAGGGAAATTTCTCAATTTTCACATTTGTGGCTGATGCTATTGGCTACATATGTAATTTGAGCCATGTGTGACTGTTGTTTCTGCTAATAAGATTGCTTATATTGAATCTTCAGACATTGGTCATGAGAAAATCACTCTCTCGGAGCTGAAAAACATACAACCTCAGAAACAAGGACAGCATTTGTCACCAAGGCTATTATTTCAGGTGTGCTAATGGGATTAGAGCTGTGTGAAAAATCGGTGGATTAGTGTGATTCCATCTCCCATCTACTCTCTACATTTGTTGTCTTCAGAACATTGATATAGCCCAGAGGTGAAAAGTGAAGGCAACTACTCAGATGCACTGGTACGAGAGTGAGAGGCAGTGTCACGTGTGGACCAATCATAAAGTGAAGGAACAAGTCTCGCACCTCCCTGGGAGACTGTTAATTGATCAGCACCTGAGAGGAAAAGTGAAGGAGAGGAAAGCCAGCTGCAGTGTGGGTGCGAAGAAGTGTATCTCCTGCAAGGACATGGGGAGGGACCAGCCATCTTCAAAGCACCCTCACCAGCGGCTAATGAGCTGCTGTGTCCCCTATCTATGTCGGCAAGTCTGCAAATACAAAAGAGGCCTACATTATACATGTCCTCTCCAACCCCTGTCTCTTATTCCCCATGCTTTCCTCCAGCAGAAATGGAATATAGCAATGCATTCTGGAATAAATAATCATGGCCTATATTCACAAAGGATTTGACATTAATGCCCTGCTCAGAGCCCTATTTATAAAGAGAATAAAATACAAACAAAATTTCAAATGCAAAAAGTGCTTTTTGTAGCTGCCCCGAGTGTAACTCAATCTTCACTAATTTCTAAGGCCTAGTTATGAGGATGTTGAGCCTTCAGAAAAAAAAGTGCTAACACTGAATATCGGCTTATTTCCAGAAATATGCAATGGCTGGAAAAACTGCCCTCCTAAAAAATAACCTGATCAGATTTTTCTGGCGTAGGTGATCGGTGGATGCTTGTTTTTAAAAACAGTGCTTGATATCAAGGGTAAACTCCTGCAGGAAAGACATTTGTGAGTGATGTCCATTTTATTAAGTACAATTCTATAAATAATAAGAGTTTCAATAAATGAAAATTGTTCACTAAGGACAAGATGTAAACCTGTTAACATTGAATTCATACTTTGTACGCACTGAGACAGTTATAACTGTGGACTATTCAGGCCCTCTAATTTCTAATGCCTATTGCTCTTCTTAGCCAAGTGTTTCTCACTGTTGGGTTTTTAAATAGATCGGTCAGAGGTTTCTGGGAACAGCCACTGAATGTTTTAAAAAATGCAGAATGTTGAAAATGAAAATATCTTCTGCATAGGATACTTCTTACATCAGACTCCAGTGCAGAGACGTGTGCTGTTCTATTATGCAGCTCTCATACCAGGTAACCAGAAACATTTATTTTCAGCATATGAAAAAAACCAATGTTAGGCCCAAAGAATCACCCATTTTTCTATAAATCCTTTTAGTCTTTGAACAAGAATTTAATAAGTGGTTTTTAGGATTCCTTCAAAAATAAATTGCCTTCCAGCATGAATGTTCTATGAATTTAATGACACCTAATAGACACTATATGCCTCAGGAGATCTGCTGTGATAGGTGTCCTTGTGTGAAGAACAAGTAGAGACGTTTTAAGAAAAACGTAACATAATAATTGAGGAACAGCTTAATATCATAGCTGGTGAAAAATTAGATTTTAATAACGGCATACTGTTCTTTAAACGAATCACAGTGGATAAACCAGGGGATACTACAGGGAATTAAATCTGAGCTACTTAGGCGATTTGATGCATAAGACTGGTACTGTAACTGAGTCCTACGCTAGTTTTGCAAATGCTAACTAAAAGCAGGAGTCATGGGCACTAAGAAAATCTATATACAGTACTAATTTTTATGTTTACCTTTGTCCAATCACCCTCTCCCACAGGAAGGTGATTACTGGGACGAGACAAATGGCTTCTTTGTTTGTGACAAAAAGTGTGAGACACCCTTTGCGGCTGACATGGCGCTTGGTGCCCCATGGTGCTTTACAGTACCTGTCCCGAGTGGGCACCACCCATTCTTCTTTAAAGCGTGCTTTAAACACATGAATGCGATGATCAAACAGCTCCATCGTGCTTGTTGTGGAAGTGAACTGTTTCAAGCACTGAGCAGGCCCCTGCATGCCGGCGCAGGAACAATGCAGGTCTCCTTGGGGAACGCCAGCGAACTCCTATGGTAGTGAGGAGGCTGCAGAACAGGGAGGAGGGGTAGGCGCTTTCTGCAGGCAGACACTACTTTTCAAAATGACAGCAGTTTATTTAATCACATACCTGAATGCTGGATCTGAGAACTGATATTATGAAGTGCACTGTGAATATGATCATTTTCAAATGGAACATACAGATGCACTGACTGTTCTCATGTATGATTAAATACATTATTGACATTATGAATGGAAGGATCAATTACTAAAGCAATTTCCATTTTCCAAACAGAGTTAGAAGTAGAAGAGTTTCCCATGGGAACCTACATTGTGAGAACAACATACTCATGGAAGCTAAAAATGATCAGGGACTGCACACTATATGGAGCCTGAATGTTAGAGATACTCTAGCTTGTCACTGAAAATCCCAGAAGTGACCTAGGGATAAAGGTTGTGTTATTGGGTATATAGTTAAAGAGATTTTTGTTTGTTTTGGGCGGTGGGGTCCATCTAGGTTAAAAAAGGCTACTTTAGAAAACCTAATAACATTTCCTGTAAAAACAAAATGTGGAAAACTATTATACTCACAGTTTGAAAGAAGCTTAATTAAAAAAGGTGGATGTACAGTATGTGGTAAGACGCAAGGTCATTTGCCTAAAAATAGTTTTTTTCAGTTTTGCAATTATATACAGTATGTATTGTCACAAAGCACAAGAGCATTTTCTTTACAAAACAAAATACCGTTCTGCACTGGCAGATGTCTTGTGTTGGTTCAAGTTGTGAGTCTGAAAATCATCTTAAAGCCTAACACCTGGTCTACAGAATTACTGTATGTTTCTGTCCTTGTGCTTTTCTAATTGAATTGTAAACCTGCGTACAGAAAGCATTCATTTTCAGCAATTTCCTAACAGTGATTTATTTAATGAAAGGCTCAAAGCATTAGCTAAAAGCAATCTTGTAAATGACTTGCATCACTTCGAGTGCTTCATCACTTCATTAATTTAAAATATTATCCATAGGCACAAGTGCCATAATTTTGAACAATGCTACATTGTTAACTTATTAATGCAGGAAATCAGACAAGTCATTTTGAACTGATTTATTTCTTATTATTACATCATTTTAGGATATCTTTCCTTCGACTGTCATGGATTATGTAATTCAATGTGTTTCTAAAGCTTAAAAAGGTAGCACTTGGCACTTCTCTTGTCAGCAAAAAAAACATCACAAAGATGGAGGAAATTAGTACTTCATTGCAACTCTTTCTTACAAGACTATACAATAACATTTATTTATATCGTTTTAAAGAACAATCACTGCTTCAAAATGGAGAATACCAACAAGCTTTCTGCTTTAGATTACTGAAAATAAAGACACAAATACCAATTTTCTTGCTTTCCAAATGTTTGCTTTCTGCAGAAGATACAGACATTGTATGCCTAGTATACAAACAGCTGGCAAAACTCTGTGTTCTAGACTTTTTGTGCAACTTTCAGTAACCAAACCTTTAGATAAATTACTTCATAATAGCCCCTGACATGACAAAGTCTCGCCAACTTTTTTCACTGTTAATCATCATAACACAACAAAACGTGTAAAAAAAATGCAACCAACACCCCATGGCAAGACAATTAAATATGCACAAAACCAACTAAGTGTGATGTTGTCTGATTAATTTGTGTGGAAAAAACATGTAAGGAAAAACAAAATAGAACAATATTTTGTCAACCAACACAAAGCACAGGGAAATACAAAAAAAAAAAACATTAAACAACATGATTTTTGTACCCCCAAGTTTTGAACAAATTTGTCCTTGCCTTGCTAAATTGGTCAGCTCTCCACAAGAAGAAAGTCCTTGATCTAGCACCATTCCAGGTAAAGTACACAGAATTACTATTTAATTTAAGAACATGTTACACATGAAAGGAGGCTGTCCAGCCCATCTAACCCATTTTGTTTTTAGTAGCTAATTGACTTGAGGATCTCATCTTGTTATTTGCCAAAAGAACTCAGGGTATCAGCTTCAATAAGCATAGGTAGCCTATTCCGTATTCCCATAAACCTTCATGTTAAAAAATGCCTTTTGTAAATACAATTTTTCATAGTTTCTCCTTATACAACCATGGTTCATTCCACAGTTGGCCTGAAAAAGTCCATGGAGTTGAAGTCAGCTTATTTTAGGATTTTGAATATTTGAATCAGGCTTTCTGGGACTCTTCTCTGACTTACTTTATTAATGATTTCAAAAGAGATTAAAACACACCAGTGGATATGCACCGTCTCCTTTACAGGATGGATTACCTTAATCCAAAGGCTTTAATCAAGAAAAACCTAAATACACATATAATAATTAATACACCTAAACAAAGAGGTGATGAACGTGGCAGTAAATAATGCCAAGAAATGCTAGTGGAAAATTCAATCAACATCAACAAAAATCTGGCTTAGAAGCCACTACAGAGTTATTAGGAGCTATCAAGAGGGCAAGCAGATAATGTATTGAAAAGGACGAAAATGCTTATCAGCTCAACAAGTGAATCTGTTCTAATGTGTTTTGTAGAGTATCTGTTCTGAAATATTAAATCATCATGAAAGAAACAAAGCCAACCCAGTGAAGGCTCTGATATCCTGTTAAGAACTCCTGTAGTTACTAAATGTAATGCAAAAATGTTATTTTATTCCCTGTAAATAATTTAAGATCTGAGTGAGATCACTTGACGTAATCTCTCTTTTTATGATTTTAGTGATAGAGTTATTATAGTACAATGTAGATTTAATAGCAGTCTTTTTTTAACAGCTTAAGAGGAGTTAAAAAAGGAGAAAAAACAGACATTTTTTCAAAGGATTTATCATTAACATTGCATTAATTAAAAAACCAGACTGCTTGTTTTAAAAAATCTGATTTTTTGTCTAAGGGCAACCAGATTTTAGTGGAGGTACACAACATAGATAAAAGTAGGCAGGCAGTTCTGACATTGTCATAGAAAACCTTATAGAAAATATGAATCTAGGGTGTAGCAGAATACTCCAGACTAGCTGTGAACAACATCAGTTGTTCTTTGAAATAGGCAGTTCTGATTACTTTGAACATGGAAAGCGTACAGAGGAGATTTGCAAGGGATCTCAAGGCCACTCAAGTTTAAAATTCAGGCAGGCAAACCTTGCTGTTACTGGCCAGAGAAAATGTCAAGATCAGGTTCTTTTGAGCAACTCAATAGGGCAAGACATAGGGCAGTAATACGCATCTAAAAGATTGACCTTTGACCTTTAAGAGCTGAGTACCACTACACGAACATTTTGACTGGAAGTCGCTCTCATCTCAGAAGATTATTTCACTCCTTCACATTCAGACATACTTGTTTTTCAGCTAAGTGGCACTTGACAGCATAAGTGCAATTTGAGATCACATTAAAAAGGGCCTACCTGCCTTTACAACGCAGTTAAACCACACTCTTGTTGTTTTACCAATTTACTGCACTGTAGTTGTTCTTGAACTGCACGTGTTTTTCATTTGGTATCCATTGAAGATGAAAGCTGAGGGCTTCAAACTTGAACTCAACGATATTGTTTTGTTCCACTGTAAGGGGTCTGTCAGATTTTAAGGACCCAAAGTATAACACATAAAGAAAATTCATATACTGCAGAAATGATAAATTCCATATCAAACTGCTAGTTTTATGACTGAATAATAAAGATAGTCCATTAAATTAGTCAAGTCCTTTAATAAGTAAAGAAATGTACCTGTTACCACATATTTGACTTCCCCTTGTTATAATGAACAACTCAGTCATCTCCCTGGTGAAGAACAAGCAGTTGATATGTGTCATGATGCATAACGTTTTCTATCAACATTTCGACACAAATATATAACATTGCAATCAATTGTAATCTTTTCTTAGTCCATCCTGATAAAAATATAAGAAATAAATGTTTATGCTCGTTTACAAACCATGCATGTGTAACAGAAAGTGCTTGAAAACACCTTTTCCTTCTCGTCTACAGTAAATCTAACCACAGTGCTGCTGTATATACTCCAGCCCAGTAGTAAAAAATGATCTATTTTTAAGGCTTCCTCCTCCATCTGATGCTAACTCTAGGAGTCTCGATGTAAAAACTGGTTGCAGTTTCTGACAAGTGCACATTGGAAAAGAACTCACCCACTTGATAGTGCAAAGCTCATAATGGTGAGTAATGGATTAACAAAAGCCATTTCACAACCGGGATAGGTGTGACATTTCCAGATTTTACTACAAATTGATATGATCTATAGCAATCAAGTAATATAGGAAGTAATTTTGTGTATCACATAACAAAAATGTAATTTCTGTTTCACTTGTTTTTTTTTTCTTTCATTTTAGTGTTGAAGAGCATTGGTCTCAAAGAAGAACAAGTTCTTGCTGATCCATTGTAGGAAAATAATGAATTCTCCTTACGAGCAAGCCAAACCATGCTTTGGCTCAGATAATCTCTCATACAAAACAGTGCTTTTTTCCTGATAAGACTGATATAAATCACACAAGCAGAGCGACATATTTATGAATGTTACATGGATTAGAGTCTCAGCCGTAGCAAAAATACAAAACACTTACCAGAAATAAAATGTAATACATGACTGGTGACAAGCACTGAAATCTTTCTATATGCTTATTCTTTTTCCCACAAGCCTGCTAACAAGCAGAATATCAAATGCTTACAAAGTAAACAGAACCTAAACTTTTTTTTTCCACTGAATTAAAACCACAGTTTTCACAATGTGCTCTAATGGTTTCATTCGCCTCCTTCCTTGTCTTGAATCCTTGCAGAAAATCCCTAAAATCTCTTCTCAGGTTGTTGTGTGTCATCCACAAAGAAGATCTAAATCCTTTGTAATTAAAATCTGAGAGTGTCTCAATGACTGTAAAACTACAATAGCCTGTTGCCTGGGTTTTGACAGCATTTTGCAAAGCTCAACAAGATCACAATGCACTGTGCACTTCTGAGTACTAAACCGACCAGAGCCTATGAACCTTGCATAGGGAGGAAGAGATTCATTACTGGCACTTCATTAGGAAATTGCATAGAGGAAGCAACCAATGTGACTCTCTTGACCAAAAACTTAGCCGTGTCTATTTGGAAAGCAACAAAGACGGTTTTAGAAGCTGGACTGTGGCTCCACTTCTACAGATTAGGTAGAGTGATAGGATTAGTCTTTAATGACTTGGAGCTGAAGACAAAGGGAGTTTCTGCAAAGAGGCTTAGATATGGAAGAATTAACACTCTCTCTCTCACCAGTGCCTCTCTCTGATGGCTAACTAACCTTTCTCCTAAACAGAACAGGAGAAAGCTTCTGGTAAAAGCTGAAAGAAGTGTTCCTACAAGATGTAAGACAACCTAACTGGGACCACTAAGCATTCATTCTAGTGCAGGACTTATGACAGCACTACTTAAATGTTTAGGTCATTTTATGTTCTATTGTGAGACAAAAAAGAACACAAACATACTTATGTTATTATAATCATATTAATCCATACACTTTTTTTAACAGGAAAAAAGGAATTTAAAAACTATTTAAAAAAGTAATCAAATCATACATACTTATAAAAGTCTGTGCTTGTATTATATAGGACATTTTGAAAGAGACTTACAGTATTATGCAAAAATAGAAGCTCCTTCTTGTACTCCACACATCCTAACCATTTGCGGTTTACTTCATTTAAGACTATGCTGAAGATTAGATATTGATTACAAGGAAATAAATTATTCCAAAGTGAAAGCCGAACAACACCATCATTAAGGTTCGACTATTGACCAATCTTTATATTTCATTAGATCTCGAGGTGACAGGACAGAGGTGGAGGAGAAAAATGTTAAAATAATGAGACTGGAGCTTTTACAGCTTGTGTGCACTGTATTTGACCTTTAGCAATTTACTGTAAATAAATATATCCTTTAAAATCAAGTTTTGAAAAGCATTTATTTTTATATAGAAGCACAAGACAAATTCTTGGGTTACAGATATTTCCAAACTATTTTGATTTTAATTTTAAACACATGTTGTTTATAACACGAACAGTCAGCACAAAATAATGTAAACTGTAGTCCAGTGAAAAAGTGCATTTTGAAGAAATGCTTTTGACACCTCAAAAAGAGTAATTTTTCAGAAACCACAAGCTATTAGAATGCTATAAACCACCATCAATTTATGTAAATAAATCCTGTAGACATTCTCTAAATGGTGAAGTTTTTGGTCATTTAGTTCAAAGCATAAGGTTAACCATTTATACTTATTTACAAAACAAGACTCATGAGGTGATACTCAACTATAAATGCAGATCATCCAAACTTTTTGATATTATTTTAAGCAGTTACATTGAAGATTTTAACTTTATAAACACTCTTTCAATGATTTTAAATATCAATTTCCTAACAATTCACAATTTCCACCTCAATTTCAATGCTTTTATTCATTGAAATAACTTTTCTGCAAGTACAGATCTCTGCTGAATTAGGTTAGATTTTGACTGATGCCAGTAACCCATGGACTGTTCTTAAACTAGGAGGTATTTTTAGCAGTACCATGATGTTATGCCCATGAAATGTGCATGGCAAGCAGCCCAGATGTTTCAATTCAGTTCAATCAGTGCTCACAAAATCTGTTTCAATTGTCCTTTCCTTTGCTCTTCACAGCCAATTTGTTTCACATCTTACCTTAGAAAATGTTATCATGAAGATGAAAATTTTTGCATTGGCTGCATGTTGGAAGGATTCCTTTAAAATATATGGAG